TGAGTCAAGACCATAATTTGCTTTGGGTTCTACATGGCATGCCACAACAGACCTATTTATCACAATTCACAAAGTAGACAAAAACTAGAAGAATACTGACTATGGAGTTGATTATATGATAATCGAAGAAGGATTGCTGAGGATATCTCATCTTCCCCACACATCATGCATTCATGTGTATATTATCTTTGCCTTAACCATGAAGATTCAGTGCTGCAGGTTACAGGAGAACGCTCAAAGAGAATAAAGTTGATTATCTGAGATTGTAATAAGGATTAAAAAACAAGTTAAGACACTAGGACATGGCCATGGTTTAAACCACCAAGACAGAATCTTTAAATTCCATGGTAAGCCTCAACAAACAAGAAGTAATAAACTGAAATTTATCCCGTCTCTGCAAGGATCCAGAAAGAAATAGCATAAATGTACTCTACTATGTCAGAAGCAGGGTTCATTTTTATGCATGAGGTTAATTAAGAAATTCTTCAGAAAATGGTCACTTCTGCATATGATTTCCAACAAATGTCTGGTGCTTGGACTGCTTGCAATTAATGAAGTTATATTGAGACCTTAAGACATCAATTTCTGCAACACATGCCTTTGCTGTGGAAAGAACTGATGAAAATTCTCTAGCCAATAGTTAATATTTCACCATTCTAAGTACATAGGAGGATTTCTTACTATAAGAAGAATTCGGAAACCTTTTAGATTTCATTCATGAGAAAACATTACTAAACATCAGTATCTATCAAAAAAAAAAACATTACTAAACATCAGCATGGTATTTTTACTCACAACACTGATCATGGACAATAGAGACATTCACCAAACAAGTAACAAATGGAAGATAACTAGCATCACCCCAGTGAGCAAGAATTAGAAGAAGATATAATCAAGGAACTCCAAATTGACTCAACACAGCAACTATGTATGAGCAACAAAAATGATTGAAAAGGATAAAACCCAATGAAGAATGTTTCAATTGGCATTCCTCCATTTATTTGAAGCTCAGAACAATACTATTGGGAACAAAGATTCTCCTTCAAACTTCCTATAATTGAGATTTTAAACTTTGATTTACAAAATTGAGAGCAAATGGTTAGTTTTCACATTCCAACCATCATGTTGTGGTTAGCAAATGGTTACAAAATTGCTAATCTCCCCAAGTAAAACTTATATAAGCATATGCATCTTAATAAATATTTCTGTCTCAGGAAAATCGCCAAGATAGTAACCAAGATGTTTAATTTCCAACCATGTTTGAACCAGAAAGTGAGCCTTCTAGATTAGTAAGTTTCTGTAATTCTGTTTAGAGAAACTATCTGATTGTATATTTCTTTTTCTGTAAAATCCTTCCAAACTGATTATTTTCAACACTGATCCAACACAAAGTGTGCAAACCTGCAACTTCGCATCAGCCTCTTGTTCACCATACTTCTAGGATGCTCCTAACAGGCATCCACAAAGGAACCCAAATTCAGGAGTTCTAGGAAGAGTCTTATTGAAATTCCATTTGAAAAATTCAAATAAATGACTCGAAGTATGATAGATGGTGCAGGAACTTTGAACTACAGATCATAGTAAGAAAATGAAAACACACAAGAGAATCCAAAAACCAAAAGAAAAAAAAAAAAAAAAAAAAAAAAAAAAAAAAAAAACATAAGTCCACGAAATAGGGGAAGAAGCTATTTCTTACTTTCAGGCAGTCCAAGAAGGTCCTGGATATGGATACGTTGAAGGGGATCTGAAAATGATGATGGTGCAGGAGCTTTGAACAAGAGAAGAACTAAAAAACCAACAAAATAAAACTATATCAGAATCTGTTCAGTAGATCGGGAGGATAAATGAAGAGGTTCGCTGTTCTCTCACCAGCACTAGAACGAGTTCACAGAAGAGGTTCGCCATTCTCTCTAATCTCCGTTGTGTAGATTTCAAGACTCCAACACAGACAATCAGAACCTAGATGCTCAAACACTCAGACGCTCAGACATTTTGGACTCCTCATATCTCAAAAGGCTGTTGGTGGATGAAGGTAAATAGCCATTTCAGACTCCTCGGATCGCAGAAGGCTGCTGGTGGATGTTTCGGACTCCTCAGGTYTCAGATCTAAGAATGGGAAAATGGGAAAATAGCCGTTACTCAGACCGCCGTGCCAGTGGATGAGGGTAAACTCCTTGCCTATTTCCCTTGATGAAAGAAGGGCGTGATTTTTTACTTCGAAAAAATCAATGTAGTTTTCCACTCTCAAATCGATGAAAACCCTGAGATGTTTGCAAATTTACATCGATAATAAAGGTGTTTTACACCGTTTCCAAATGCATGGAATTGTGGACCGGAGTGCAATAATGCACTGAACCAGTATTTACCTTGTTTCCAAATGCAGCCTAAATACTTAATTGACCACTCCCGGAATCTCACATCCCAAAACTGCAGTATACTCCAGTTCTCACCTTTCCATACCTATACCAACCAAGCTACACTTCCCTAAATTAACTTTTCAAAGAGCTCTCACATCCTCTAATCCTCTAAATTCTCCAAAAATTGTGTTGTCCATGAACTGCAATGAGAAACTACTAGATTTTGTCTCCCCACCAAAAAATAAACATCATTGGTGGCAAAGGGTCACCTTGCCAAATATCCCTAGATGCCTTAAAGAAATCTTTTGGGGAGCCATTAATTAGGATTGAAATGAGTTGTTCTCAAGCATTCCAAGATCCAATTAATCCCAAACCCAATCTACATGACTATAGGCCTTTCCAAATACAATTTAAATATAAAAACCTTTCTCCCCCACTTCCTAAAATCCTCCACAACTTCATTTGCTATCAATTTTGATTCAAAATCTGCCTTTCTTTGACAAAAACTTCCTACTCTTTAAAGACCACCAAATGCAAAACCTCCTTGAGTCTAACTTACAACACTTTAGCCACTACTTTATAAAGACTTGTGGTTAAACTTGTATGCCTAAGCTCATTTTTAGACATTGCACCCCTACGCATTTTAGTACCAAAGATGTAAAGGTTGCATTCATCCATTTACCAACCTTCCCCCCAAATATAGAATCCATCAAAAACTTATTTTCAGATTCACATATAATTCCCCAATGTTCATGGTAAAAAGCCATGGTGAAACCATCCATTCCAGGAGACTTTTCACCACTCATCCCCATCATAGCCCTCTTTATTTCTTCTAGCAACAATGGCTCCTCAAGCTTCTTCCACACCTCCTCAGGGATCTTCTCCCATTGAATTCCCTCCAAGACTGGTTTCTCATGCATCCTGGTAAAAACAAAGCCTTAAATGGTCAAGTAGTATTCTCTTGATTTTCCCCTTGTATCTTATTTCCTCTCCCTCCACCATCACCCTTGAAATCAATTTTTTTTCCTTCTTCTATTTGCCAACATATGAAAGAACTTACCATTGCCATCCCCCTCCTTTAACCACTTACATCTTGATTTTTATCACCAACAAATCTCCTCCCTTCTTAAAGGTGTTTGCAATTCTCCGTTTGAATCCACCCTTTTTAGTCTTTCAACATCACTTAACCTCCTTCCATCCTCTCTTTCTCTCTCCAATCTGCCCAGAGCTTCAATTTGATCTAATAAATCCACCTTTTTCTCCACCCTGCCAAAAAATTGAGAATTCCATTCTTTCATTTTGCTTAAACTCCTTCCACCACTTCTCTATATTTTGCTTAAACTTCAGGTGAGTTAATGACATGTTTTCAACCCTAAAAGGTGTAGATCCAAAGGACATCTCCTCAGACTGTAAACACAGAGGCCAATGATGCCAGTGTGTTTGCTATCACCAAACCAAAATGGTCCTTCCACTAAGATGAGACTATGAATCTATCTAACTTTCAACACACTACAATTTCCTGTAAATTAGACCAGGTGAATTGAGCATTTTGCAGTGGAATATCCCTAAGCATGCATTCATCAATAAAATCATTATAATTTCTCATGCTTTCCGTGACTCCAGAGGATCCCACATTTTTCTCAGCACAAAAACGCAGCACATTAAAATCTCCAGCAACACACCATGCACTCTCACACATTCTACTCACTAAAAATCTCCAGCAACATACCGCGTAATACCCCACCCATTCTTCTGTGCACTCTTTTTTGCTATCATCCCACACAATCAAAATTCCACCAGATGCTCCAATAAAAGGCAAAAAGATCCATTATTTATTTTTTGATCCCCATATACTCCTCATCCACACATTATTGACCACTTCAACTTTTGTTACTTGCAAAAGCACCATAGGTTGTGTTTGGTATCATTGCTGCTTCTACTAGAAACATTTGAAGTTTATCAATACAAATTTTTGATAAAATATGCCATTGTTTACATAAAAAAAAGAATCCATTTTTAGTATTAAATGCGATATCATTCACTTCTTCATGAAACGTCAAATTTGATGTGTCTATTATAAATGCCAACACCAATCCAATACATCCATTTTTTCAGTGGAAGTGGTTATCTGAGGTGATGTGACAAGACAATTTCTAAACAATTTCTCAAAAAAATTGTATTGATAAACCCCAAACGTTTATATTAGAAACAGCAAAGATACCAAACACAACCTTAGCCTCCTTAGAAAGTCTTTCACCACTCTTCTTATTCGTGCACTTCCTACACCTCCAACATTCCAGCTCACCATCTTGTGATGTTTTTAGATGTACGTAATATATATTTTGTAAACAGGACTAAGAACGTGATAATTCATGACTTGGCATATAGGCCATGTAAGCAGGGGAAGAATGTGTATACTCATATATTTGATAAGTACATGGATGTACAAACTGTTTCTACAAGTAATGAATGATGGAACTTGAGCTTTGTTTTTGCCAAAAAAAAAGTAAATCAAAATTCTGTAATCAGCCTCACGTTGGTCATAAATAAGCGATAATACAAGTCTGGAACGTGGAAGTAAACATTGCACATAAAAAGAAAAGAATAAACACTGAAAAGCATCAACAAGATCAAAATACTCACATCAGTTTCTCTACAACACAAAAATCGCAAAGACGCGTCCGCCCAATCAATGTCGTTGAAACATCCAAAACAGCATTACAGGCAGCCATGGAAATTCGCTTACTCCCACTCGATAAAGCCGCCACTAAACCCTTTAAAATCTCAGCATCTGAGACAACCCTTTCATTCATATCCAACGATAAAAGTGTTGCTGCACCGACAATTTCAGCAGTGCGAGACGCAATTTCAGGGTTCCTGCAATAAAGGAAAGAAAAGAATTAATCGATCATAGTGGAAAATGGATTAAAAAAGGATGTAGAACGGTTTTTGAGGGCATTACTTGGATCTTAGAAGGGCAGGGAGAAATGAAAGGAAATCATTTGATAGTTTTTGTGGGAAGGAGGGAGGAATGTTTGAGTTGGGGGTTTGGGTGAGGAGGGAGAGCTGGAGTTTCTTTAAACATTTCTTCAGGAGGGATTCACAGAATGGGTTGTCGAGCTTAGCAAGAGCTGCAAGCATTAGAGGAAAGAGAATAGTATCCATGCTGGATTGATCATAAAGAGATCTTTTCTTCCTCTTCCTTCTCTTGCCCATACCCATACTAGTAGGTTCTTGTTTGTGCAGTGCTGCTGCTCTCTGTATTCCAAAGCTTGAGAATCGATTAATTCATAATAGAGGTAGCGGTGCAACTTGGTGGTTGGGTCCAACCCTTGCTTGACCCAGCTCAATCAATGCTTTTGCACTGATTGGGCTCGAGTTCTCAAACTTGAAACACTTGAATGGGAATTTCATTCCTTAGGGGGCCTAGAATACCCAACGTCTCTCTCGCTAATAATAATATAATGGAAAATTCCCGACAGGTACCCTATACTTTAGGTTGAGTGCAAATTTAGTACCTGTATTTTAAATCATGATAATTTAGTATTTGAATTTTCAATTTGGGACAATTTGGTACCTGATATTAGATTTTTATCGGTTAGAGAATAAAAGTCTTAAATACCCCCAATGTTATTTCAGCCGATTAAAATTATTAAAATAACCCATCAAGCTTATAGAGAACCAGCTCCCTCACGCCGGTGGTGTCAAGTGAATGTGCCGCCGGGAAAGTTGATTTCGACATACACGACGCTGGAAAATTATTACGCCGCCGAGAATCCAAGAAGCAGTGTCATTTTCGGAGAACGACTCTTGTTGCCCATCGCTGGAACATTCTTGCGCCCACTGTTTACTCAGCCGTTGTCGGTGCTGAAGAGACAACCAGGGTTCATTCATTCAACCCAGAATGAAGACAAACAGGTTTCGTTTATTCAACCCAGAATGAAGAGGAAGGTCGGCTCTCTTCTCCTCTTTCGTTCGTTCAAGCCAGAATGAAGACAACAGGTTTCGTTCGTTCAAAAAACTCGGATTGGAACGAATCGACCATACTAATTTATGGTTCCAAAAATAGCAATCCCCCACAATAATTCATAGTTTCAAGACTTTAAACTCAGTCATTTTTGCAACTTCTTCTAGGTAATTCTCTGCACCCCTCTTCCCCTAATGAAAAACTTTAGAATCCTTTTGGTATAGACAATTACGGATTTTCACTTCAAGACTGTCATATCCAAGGATGACTAGTAATTGAAACAATGTCTGCCCGTCTAGAAAATCAGATAGCATATCTTTGTATTCTAATTGACGATGCACAATCACAGGCAGGCAAGCAAATTCAGAACTCCAATAGCTTTGATTGCTCAACATTGATTTTTCTCTACACTAGTAAGTGGAGAGCATTCATGAGAGTTAAAGAAGCACACCTGAGAGGGCTAACAATGGCTAGAGGAGTGTTGGGAAACCAGGTCAAAACAAGCCGGACAATCAGCAGAGTGTTATAGATGTTCAAGAAGTTCAAAATTCCATTTGATACCACCACAATCCCCGCCACTGAATCACCAGGTAAAATGGCAGCAAAGTGGTGGTTGTACAAGGTATTGAGACTCCTGGGGAATTTCTGCAATGAATCTGAAAGAAGATTTCATTGTAGTACTCATGTCTCTTAAGAAATAAGAGAAATTTGTGCAACTTAAGTCCTGATAAGAGTTATATGTGACAACCATTTACCCATGCTGACAACCAACCCAAAACCCCAACCTAACTGTTTTCTTGTGTTCTTGGGCTACCATAGCTCAAACCAGTTAATAATCTGACTAGATCAATATGACTAATTTCTATCGACATCTCCATCATCTAAGGCTTGTCCTTACTGACCTTCATCTCTAACGTAATTTGGCCCTGCCTGAATCTAACTAATTCCCCAGATTTCCCCTATTAGAGCTGGCACACCTCAATGGAATTTGGATCGTCAAGAATCAACCCATTGCCACATTTAGGTAGGTAAGTTAGTATCTGAAGCAAAATGACCAACTCAAATACCATATGAGAACTACTTGGTTGCAGATTTCAAGACAGACAAAGTCTACATTCAGACTATATAATTTTCTCTTGCAAGAACAATATGAATGTTTGATGTTTGAACAGAGAAAATAAATCCCTATCCAAGTCAAGGAATGAAGGAATAGCTTTCCATGTTTGGTTTGAACATACTCTTTAAGAAAAATTTCTGATTTATCCCAGTGAAGGTTTTGTATGAACAAAAATTCCTAACCAAACAACTTATACATGGTATTTATAATGAGATACTATTTTGATGATGCAATGACGGAAACAGAAAGCAGTAGTAAGCCATTACGAATGGATTATGAAATAGAATTTAAGAAAGTATTTTCCACCTTTCCTAATCGATTGCACGTACAAATTCTAATGGGGCCTACACAACTGATTTTTGTTGTTATCCTTGCAGTGATTGTTTTGAATTTTTTTGTCTTCTATGCCTCAAATGTTTTGATTTGGAATTTCTTTTTTTCCTCCTTCATTCAGCACTTTGTGTAATCCTTACTTGAACATATTCCGAGGGATTATTCCACCTCTTGGAGGAACACTCGATCTCTCTCTCTCCTATTCTAGCCTTTCTAATTTTAAATGCCTTCACCAGCATTGCCGTTGCTCTTCTTGCTAAATGGCCCAAGAAATGATGATTAAAACCTTGATTGTGTTTTCATTTTTGAACCAGGCAATACAAGAGCCAAGAGAGAGTTTTCGTTTTTGAGAAAAGGATTCTAAAGAGAAGAGATTCTGAAGAAAAGGATTTGCAGAAATGGTTGAGTTTAAAGTCTTGAAACACCGATCAGCGGATGATAATAGCGACCTGTGTAGCAGCCGGATGATATCAGGGGGTGTTGAAATGATGCATGAAACGCCAAAAAGCGACCTGTGCTTTTTGATCATTCAACCCAGAATGAAGACAACAAGTTTCGTTCATTCAACCTAGAATGAAGACAACAAGGGATTAGGGAAATAAGAAGCGTTTTTCATAAATGGTATTTTTGGTATTTTGAAAATGTTAACCCACATGTGAGTTTCTAACTAACGAAAATCTAACGTCAGGTACCAAATTGTCACAAATTGAAAGTTCGGGTACCAAATTGTCCCAAATTAAAAGTTCAGGTACTAGATTGTCACGATTTAAAGTATGGGTACTAAATTGGCACTCGACCTAAAGTGCAGGGTACCTATCGAGAATTTTCCCATAATATAATTGCTCTCTTGGATGAGAATTCCATTCCCTTGGGGGCCTAAAATACCCAATGTCTCTCTCTCTCATTAATACACTCTTAATCACCTCTCTTTAATAATATAACTAGTAGGGACCCGTGCGATGCATGGGATTTATTAAGCGAAAGCTAAATAATAGAAAGGGTCGTTTACTAAAAAACCCCTTATAGTTTCATGGATTTACTAAAATCTACCATATAGTTAGCATTTTACTAAAACACCACTTATAATTTGCAACGGATTTAATCAATCTTCCATTATATGACAGTGGAAAATGATAGTGTTGACCCTAATGCTCATTTAAATAAATTTAATAAAAAAATAAAAATAAAAATACCACAAAATGGTTGAACTTCTTACAACCACCTAGATGGAAATACAATTTGTTTTCGGGTAGATTTTAAAAATATAATTTTTATATTATTAAAATTATTATGTATCGATTTAATTAGTAGAATTTAGTGATGAGAAATAAAAAAGCGTTAAATATATAATTCAATGAAAGAGAATGTGAGTTAATAACTTAAATATGGGAGTTAATGAAAGGGAATTGAATGAATTTAATAATAGTATTTAAATTACATTTTTCTCCTTACACTAAGGAGTGACCATATTAAAACATAGGGATATTTTAGTCAAGAAAAATTCCAAAACATAAGACTAAGTCCACTCTAGTCTCTAATGTAGTTATTTAATCATTTATATCACTAATAATAATAATTTTCATTTATAACAAATTTTCATTAATATGATAAATATATAATATTAAGGGTATTTTGTATAAAAAATAATCAAGTATGATTGATTAACAAACTCAACTGCATTTAGAAACTAATTGCAAAAATGGTATGTAGACAGAAAAAAGCTTTTATTGGGATCAAATTGCTCCTAAATTAAAATGCATTTTGTTGTCTTCACTTCGATGTTATGTTGTTGCCCCTCTCTCATTTTTCACACTTTAAGGGGCTGTTTAGTTCCATTATTGTTTATTAAATAAATGTTTTATATGACATCCTCCTTGAAAAACAAGAAAAGTGGTTGAAAATGTTTTTTAGCATTTTTTGGCATCTAGGTGCCACATAAGCTGAATAGTGGAAAAACACCCAAGTGTTGGGAGAAACATCAAAAAGTCCGAGAAAACATTTATTTGATAAATGGTTTAAGTAAACAACATTTCAATCTCCATTGAGGAAACACCTACGTGACGCAGAACAACATTTCAAATAAACAACAATGGAACCAAACGCCATCTAAAGCATTGTTCATCTTCAACCACCCTCTCTTCTCACTTTTCTACACCTATTTCTCTCTCCACCAATCTCCAATCTTGCTCCCATGAATAAAAAAGTTTAAGCATCTTTAACATGTATCATCTAAGCGCCAAGAAAAATCAAGAAAAAAAATTGTTTTTTTCTTAAACCAAGAAATATCAAAGAAAAACTTTCATTATGATCATTGATAATTTTACAAGCAAAATAACATAACTTGGTGAATGTTAATTAACTTGGGCGCATACAATATTCAATCTAATTTTTGGTTAAATAGGAGCTTAAGATAAAGAAATGTTCAGCTATTTCATTACATGATTCATTTGGCCTTCGACAAGATAATGGTCAATAACATTAATTCCATCAAAATAGAATTTTGATGCACTATTAATGGCTACATTATTGATGCATATTAATGGTTATTGTATGAAATAGCTAATGCATAAAGCCATTAATATGCATCGTCATACTTTTTCTTTTTCACATCCCCTTAGAATTTGGTGGTTTTTATGAATTAAAAATAAATAAATAAATAAACATGGGTTAGTTAAACTCACTGAAAATTGGTTCACTTACCTTTTTATTAGGAAATTGAGTCTAATCACTCCCCTATAAAACATGCGCATCTTTTAACACTAACCCATCCATTGCATGAATCTCTTGTAGTTAAGGTTTTAAACATCGACACAATACACCCAATATGCGACCACCTATGATTCAATTTCCTTTTTAAATAGGAAATTGAATGTAACCAGTCCCCTATAAAACACTAACATAAGGGCATGTACTATGCATGTGTGCAAATAAAGGGTGAAGATAGAAGTTGAGGTTATACAGTCAATTTTAACATTAACGACTTCCATAAAAACCAAGGCAAGTATTTACTTTATAATAGT